AATAAAGGTGTGACAAAGCAGTATTCTGTTTTTCTTTGTCATTTTACACTGTTCAAATCTGCAGAAATAGGATGCTCAAATTTTTGGAAGGCCTGCAATAAATGCTAGTGTTCTGAGTATACTAAGTTCCTGCAGACTAAAGTGCATACTTTTCCATTATTGAATATGATTATACTTATTTTTCTCTTTATTTCATCTTATAAAACTTTAGTAGAAATTAACACATTTATGTGTAAATAATAACAAAAAAAAGACATTACTCCTAGTGAGGCTTTAAACTTTCAATAATAACAATTTTTGCCTTCAGTTTATATTACATTAATCTTGAAATATTTATAGTTTTGTCCTTTCTGTGGTGTACAATGCCTAAAAATGAAATAAGATTCAAATATCTGTGTGTGACACAATGTAGGCTAAACTTATTTTATAGTAGCTTGGAGAACCCGTGAATTGGTCTTCATGAATGTAGATCTTATTGACAGAAATAGATACTATAGCGTTTGTGATGTGAAAAATATCCCCACCCTACAAAATGGAAGTTATAAATAACCCATTTATTAGATTTTCAGATATCCTAGGTTCCTGGAATATTTCATGTTTCTGTTATTCAAATCTATTGCTTTTCTTCAAACAACAGAGTCTCTGTCACACATCAATCATAAAGATATTCCATGACCTTGGGCATTTTTCCCTGTTCCTGGTAGGTAGTAAAGTGCATATTCCCAACAATAAAATTGTGGATAATGAAAGCTGAAAGGCTTTAAAGCAAAGGGGACAACTACACACAAGGAGACCCTGTCACAGGGCAGATGAGAGGCACTCATCTCTTTGAGGACTAGGCAGTGCTCTCAAATGCCATTATTGGAAGACTTTTACTCTTCTAAGCAATTCCTTGAGTCAGTTGATGACCCATTGAAAGCCGACATTCTATAGCTTTCAAAAAAGTGCTATTGAATTGAAGGGCATATCCATAAATGGGAGCTATTCTATATAAATGTGAATATTATTCTTCTATGGAAAGCTTACTATGATCATATAAATGCAGTATGAGCTATAACCTATATACACTGCGACATTGATGGGGTTTTTATGTTTGACTGATATTCTTACATATCTTCCTTTTTCTTAGTGTTTTAAAAGTTTTACTGATATCCACTTAATAAAACTGTAAAGACGTTTGTCAAACATTTGCATACCTTTGTCTTTAGGAATTTTGGCATAGCACACAGCGATTTTCTTTCCCAGGAACTTATACTGAAACTAGAGGTCCTGTGCATGAAATTTGTGCACTTGGGTAGGGGGGGGGCCCTCAACCCAGCCTACACCCTCTTGCAGTCCAGGAGCTCTTGGGGGATGTCCGACTGACGGCCTGCTCCATGAGGAGCAGGCCTAAGCCGTCTATCGGACATCCTTAGTACTGCCGCAGAGGCAGGAGAGGCTCCTGCCACTGCCGCCTCGCTCACCAGCCATGAGCCCGGCTCAGGGTTTCTGGCTGAGTGGTGCTACCCTCGGAGGAGCGCACTGACCACCAAGGGGCAGCTCCTGCATTGAGGGTCTGCTCCCTGGTAGTCAGTGTGCATCATAGCAACCAGTTGTTCCACCATTTGGTCGATTTGTATATTAGCCTTTTACTATATAGGATAATGTTAGGTAACAAAAATAGAAGGCTTTTAAAGCCATGAGTGACAACTACACAGATTCCCCTGTTTGGACAGGGGAATTCCTTACCAAATATGGGCCCCAATTGAATTCTATTTGCTACACATTTTGAATGAAAACTAAGAGGACCCAACTTATTTCACTCTGCCTTAGTCTGGGAGCAACTATCTTTCACTTCCCTTTGAAATGGGACGAACTATGTTTAAAAACATGAATGAAGCAGATGAGCATCCAACCCGGTCTGGTGGATTTCAGTTCCTGTTCCCTTTCCCTTCCTAAGTCCTCTCTGTATTCTGCTCCTTGGGACCTATGAACACCCTTTTATGCTAACTGCAATAGATTTCTGTTACTTTCAAGGGAAGAGTTAGAAAAACGAAGACTTTTGGAATCATGTACATCCATTTTCCCTTTGATTAAAATGAGTGAAATGAATTGCTGCCACTTTAATAAATAGAATGGGCTCTCAAGGCCCTCCCCCCTCTCATGTCTCCACAAACTTAGGCTTCATCCCAATGGTATTTGAATCATAATTTTTTTAAAATGTATTCTTTGAATAATGTGTTATTTTGGGCTCCATTAAAACAACTTTGAATATTTTTTTGAATAGTCACTGATTAAAGTTTATATCACATAAATATAGCTTTTATTTACATAAAATATGAGAATATAAGGCAAGATATCCACATATTAAATAGAATGTTTCACTTTCATGGGGAGAGAAACACTCTAGTCCTGTAATTTGCTTGCAATTATTGGATTATTTCATAGATTATTCCATGTAAGTAAACACTTCCAACTAACTGTAGCATATAATTAAGTGGCCATTTAAAAAAGCTTGTACTTTGAAAGAATATTGTCTTAAATTTATTATGTACCACCTCTCTTTCTTTTAAAAATTATTTTTTCTCATAATAAAGGCAATATATACTCACTGAAGAACAATTGTCAAATAAAGATAAATATAAAGAAAAAAATTAAAATCACCTATAATTTTAATTCCAAAAATAAACACCTTTAATGATGTTAAGGCCATGGTTTTCATGTATAACATGCTTATGTGTATGTGAGTGTGTGTGTGTCTGTGTGTGTTTACATGCTTAGTGTTGGCTGGCACTAAGGCCTCCAACTGCTCTGCCTGGATGAGACAGGGTGCCATGCGGAGCAGGGCCAAGACAACCCCTTGCTAAACTCTTGGTAGCTGATATGTCCAAAATAAGATTTGAGATTAAAGACGCTTTATAGGAGAAAGGGTAGTAATTATTGTTTTAAACCAATGGTGCTCCATATTACCTCTCTGCACGACCCCAAGCCTTTAAGTGATGTCTGTTCACAAGTATTTCATTAGAATGGAGTTTCACATCTGGCTGTCTACCATGGTGGGGAAAGGATGGCATGTTGAATGCAGAAGCCAGGAAATTCTCAAGGATCTGGGTTTTTTCTTTATTTAAAATATATATACATATATTTTATTTCAGAGAGGAAAGGAGAGGAAGAGAGAGATAGAAACACCAGTGATGAGAGTGAATCATTGCTTGGCTGCCTTCTGCACGCCCCCTACTGGGGGTTAAGCTTGCAAACCGGCCATGTGCCCTTTGACAGGAATCAAACTCAGGGCCCTTCAGTCTGCAGGCTGATGCTCTATCCACTGAGCCAAACCTGCTAGGGCAAGGTTCTAGGTTTCCTAAATAATCATTTAGACTTTTGAAACCAAGGACATTTTATGCAGCCTTCTGGTACCAGAGAGAGTCTAGTTGATATCTGAGGTGTATATGCTGGTGAGTAACACTATGTGCATGGCATTCTGCTAAACAGTTTACATGAATTATCTCACTGAATTTCCATAAAATCCTGAGGTTAATGGTAGAACTCAAATGCAGATATATGCTATCTTGTTTAAAAGTCTCTCTCTTTACCATCGATCAGTTATCTACTCATACACACACACACACACACACACACACACACACACACACATCCTATATAATAAAAGCCTAATATGCAAATTGTCCCCTTGGGTGCTTGTTTGACCTGGAGTTTGTCCACTTGCTATGATGTGCACTGACCACCAGGGGGTGGAGTGGAACATGGCTGGTGCCAGCAACAGGGTGCTGGCAGAGGGCAGCAGTGGAGGCGCTGCTGGCCCCGATGGGCCCCGACGAGAGCGGGCCTGCGGCGGGATGGTGGAGCAGGTGAGAGGGCAGTATCAGGCCAAGGTGGGTGAAAGCAGGGCCTGATTGCCCTGCTTATCGGTCTGCAGATGGCGACCAGCAGCGGCGGTTGCGGGGCTGCCGCCTGGCTCCCAGGCACTGAGAGAGCCGAGTGGGGGACCTGGCCCCGATTAATCGCCCCACAGGTGGGATGGTGGCACAGGTGAGGGGGAGGTGCCAGGCCAAGGCAGGGTGCCAGGTGGGGCTGCAGGGCTGTGAGGTTGGGGGTGTGAGCTGGGGCCCGATCCCTGCAGGCCACACCAAGGAACCCCACCCATACATGAATTTGTGCACTGGGCCTCTAGTGTACATATATACATACATACATACATGCATATATACCTATATAAATATATACATATATATACATACTAGTGGCTCAGTGCATGAAATACGTGCACAGGGGTGGGAGTCCCTCAACCTGACATGCACCCTGTCCAATCTGGGATCCCTCTAGTAATCCAGAAGTACTGGCTCCTAAGCACTCACCTGCCTGCCTGCCTGATGCCCTCAACTGCTCTCCCCTCCTTGTCTGATCTCCCTAACTGCCTATGTGCTCTCCCTTTCTTTCCATGCTTTCAGACTCCAGAGCAGGAGTGCTGAGAACTCTCTGCCTAGGCTCCGCCCCCATAATATGGACCACACTCAGGGCCGGGCGGCGCCTGGGGCCTGCATGTGCTGCCGCCGGGAGGGCTGCCTCAGCCATCCTGAAGCCCCCCTTACAGCATCATGTCCCAGTGGAGCAAGTCCCCGCCCCTGTCCCTGCGCACCAGCTCCTGTACTTGTGCACCTTTGACCGAGGTGACTGAGACACCGTTAGGACCAAATAGCATATTATCTCTTTATATAAGTGGATATACATATAAATATATCATAAGAATATACTGGATTTCCAATTTATGTTTTTTTTATTAATGTTGAGACAAGTTTAATAAATTCTATTTTTTCTTGTACTCATTTTTTATTTGCAAAATTTTTACAAAAAGTAGAAAAATAAATATTTTGTCGGGTCTGAATTTAACAATTCACACACATAAATATATAAATAGTGGGTGGGAGTCAATAAATTAAAATGGGGGGAAATGCATATATAAAATCCAAGAGGCTGGGACAGGTTGCCGGTGGGTGTCAGGGTCAGGCACACAGGTCTCCAGCGGCCACACATCTCAGGTCACGGGTGAGGAGGCGGAAGAGGTTCAATGTGACAGAGGCTTCAAGGCAGCCCTGAGATTCCTTCTTCCCGGCCTCCCGGAGGCGATGCAGCCATTGGCGGAGGGGGCCCCGTAGCCTGGGGCCTGCTGTGGCCTGAGCTGGGACACAGGCCTGAAGCTTGGAGTGGATGTGGTGCAGCGTGTGCAGGGGCTGGTCCAGGATGTCCCCCAGGGTCGAGTTCTTCAAGGTCCCCAGGACCTTCAGTGTCAGGGCCAGCTCAGCCTCCAAGGCCACAGGGCGCTCCCACACCTGCAGCTGCCTCAGGTCCCGGGTCCTGGGGAGGGGGCGGGAGCTGCAGCTCCAGTTCTTAAGCAGGAGCGACTCTTCCAGGGCGTCCTTGACCCTCTTGAAGGCCTTCATCTCTTGTGGCGACAGAGACTTGAACTGGCCCATGAGGCAGCCCCTTGCACCCAGGTGGGTCCTGGCGGGCGTAGGGGCAGGAGCTGCTCCTGTCCTGGTCAGCACCGAGGCCATCAGCATCAGCACCAGCACCAGCGTGCAACACACAGCCAAGTCCCGCTTCATCCTGGCCTCTGGTCTCTGGTCTCTGTCAGCAGATGGGGATCCAAGTGTCCACTCAGAGGCTGTCACCTGGGTCTCACTCAGCCTTGTTTGGTGTGTCTTCTCAGTCTCCTCTTCTGGGTCTCAGCCTGCTGCTCTGTCTGTATCTCTGAACTTGAAGCACTGCTGAGGTGTAATTCTGCAGAGCTCCATGGTGCAGCTTTTAGCCTGGACAGAGGGGCAATCCCAGCTGATGTAGGAAAAGTGAAAACACACCTGCCACTAGGGGAGCTCCAGGCTGGGGAAGCCTGCCCATGCAGGGCTGGACCTTGAACCAGTTGAGCAGCTGAAGCCAAAGGGAAAGTGATAGAGACTCTGATTCACTTACAGAAGGTGAGGCCATAAGAGGAATCTCAGGATAAAGGAAGCCTTAGCCCCACAAAGAGGGGTCACAGTGCTCTGCTGGTTAGGGGACATAGAGACTTGCCTTCCTGCAGATATGCCAGAGCAGAGAGAGAAGAAAGATACCTCTAGGGGTGTTGCCATAAAGAGCCTGGAACTTCCAAGAGGGAGGCTGTCAGGGGAGGGGAGAAGAGGAAGGGAGAAGGCTACTGGGCCTTGGGAGAGAGTCAGAAAGGCAAAGCAGCCTGGAGTTAAGAGGAGACCAGGGCCTCCCTCCCTTCCCCACTCAGCACTGAGAGAAAAAGAAGGGGAGGAGGGCAACTTGACAAACATCTTTAAATGTCCAGATGCAGCAGGACCCAGGGATAGGAAGCTCTGCTGGGAAGTGAGGTGTGGCCAAGGACTTCAAGGGATCCTGCTCAGTGTGTGACAAATGCTTTCATTCGTTCACTCATTTATCAAGTATAACAGCCCCCTCTTTGCATTAGGCATTTCTCAAGGTGCCAGGAATGGCATTGAAAACAAATCCCATTAAACAAAACTTGGAGCTTTTTCTTTTCTGTTTTTTTTTAAAAATTGATTTCAGAGTGGAAGGGAGAGGGAGAGAGAGAAACATCAATGATGAGAAAGAATTATTGATTGGCTGCCTCTGACATGCCCTTACTGGGTATCCAGACTGCAACCTGGGCATGTGTCCTTGACCAGGATCGAACCTGGGACCCTTCAGTCTGCAGGCCGATGCTCTATCCAATGAGCAAAACGAGCAAGGACAGAACTTTTATAAATTTTTAAACATTTATTTGAGTTATTTAAAAAATAATCTTTATTTTCAGAGTATTACTGATGTCCCTCTTTCCCCCCTCTCTGTAACCCCCCCTACCCAGTTCCTTATTAATTTGTGAGATTAATTACTAAATATCTAGAGTGCAGTTGATGTAATGAAGCATAGGCCAAATGAATTTCCCTGTGGAGCAGAAGTCTAGACTATGTAGGTCAAGGGTTATGGATACAGGAACTGATAAAAGAACTCAGTCCCAGATACACTTCCTGTTACCTGATTATAACAGGTCTTCAGTTCACCAATGGGGACAGTTTGCAAACTTTTACCTATCATTTTGAAAAACACAATGAATTTCCTATGTATCTTCTGCTTCATATTTGTTTATTTTACAACTTGGGGCCCAGTGCATAAAATTCATGCAGTTTAGGGTCACTAGTGGCTGTCAGCTGCCATCTGGGGCCCCCTTTCCTTGGCTGCTGGCTGCTGGCTGAGGCCTTCCTTCGTTCCGTGCTGCCCCCTGGTGTTCAGCACAATTCATAGAGAGTGATCAAACATCTGGTCAGTGGAACTCCTCAGGGGACACTTTGCATATTAGGCTTTTATATATATAAACAAGAGTGTACTGTCTCCTCTTTAAGCAAAATTCCTTTAAAAGCCTACTATCCTTGTGTTAAGTATAGAATAAACAAATCTGCAGGGAAGAAATAAATGCCTCCCTTTTTGTAGGGTAGGGGGATATTCTTTATATCACCATTCTTTCTAGGTTACCTGGGTATGCTTTACTTTTGAGCTCACTAGAGCTTTAAAGTAAGCAGGAGTTACACTGTGTATTATTGCTCATCTGATTCTTTTGGATATTATAAATGATTTTTAAAAGAACATTTAGCCAAACCGGTTTGGCTCCATGGATAGTCGGACTGCGGACTGAAAGGGCATGTACCTGGGTTGCGGGCACATCCCCAGTGGGAGGTGTGCAGGAGGCAGCTGGTCGATGTTTCTCTCTCATAGATGTTTCTAACTCTCTATCCCTCTCCCTTCCTTTCTGTAAAAAATCAATAAAATATATTTTTTTTTAAAAAGAGAGAGAACATTGAGTAAAGGTGAAGGGATTAAGCAAAAAAAAAGAAGAAATAAAAGACAATCTCATATACATACAAAAAGATAAATAAAAGAAATGTGAGATGAATTAAACCTAGCTATAAAGGGAAATAATATCAATAAAAAATAGTTGTTTTTGTCTCTAGGGACTAAAATAAATTCCTTTTATTGTTTGTTTTTTTGTTAATCCTCACAGGAAGACATTTTCCCCATTGATGTTTAGAGAAAGTGGAAGAGAGAGAAGGGAGGTGGAGAGAGAGAAAGAGAGAGAGAGAGAGAGAGAGAGAGAGACATCAATGTGCAAGACATACATCAATTGGTTTCCTCCTGCATGTGGCCCAACTAGGGCCATGGATTGAACCTGAAACCCAGGTATGTGCCTTTGACCAAGAATCAAATTTGTGACCCTTTGGCATGTGGAGCCACACTCTAACCATTGAGTGACACTGGCCAGGGCTAGGGACTAAAACTAATTCTACACAGAGGCATTAACTTTTACTTTCCATGAACAACTAAATAATCACCAATATAAAATGAAATTAACCCAGAAATTAGGGGGGAAAAAGGTATGCAATTTGCTTTTCTAGAAAGTTTATTTCTGATAAAAACAAAATGTAGACTCTAACTACTGGAAATGAAAGAAACTGTAGTAGGTTTGTATGAATAAAGGCCGGAGCAGAACCAGGAGATCGGCAGCTAAGATGTCCTTTTTACAGTAAGGGGAGCATTGTGTGATGGCTTCGCAGGTTGTAATACAGTCCCGTAGAAGCTCCAGGGTAAAAACATAATGATGAAAGGGGCCATGGGGGGAACAGATATCATGTCTGACTAATGTTAACTTTCCAAAGGGTTTGTGGCAAGCGTTAAATTTAGAAAAGATAAACGCCAATTAAAAGATTCCAAAAATGAAATCCATACAAAGATCAGCAGTTGTTAGCAATTTGAATATTTATTGAACATTGAAACTGATTGAAAAATAAAATAATTTTCTTGACTTTATTGTTTTATCTTGAGTCAAACTGAATGGCTACAGATGCCATGAATTAGATAATGTTGACATGAAATAGAGGTTAAACTTTCAGTGGCTATATGTGGTTGTGAAAAATAAAGCTGTGACAAAGCAGTATCCTGTTTTTCTTTTGTCATTTTACACTGTTAAATCTCTAGGAACATGATGCTTAAGTTTTTGGAAGTCATGCAAAAAAAGCTAGTGTTTTGAGTATACTAAGTTCCTGCAGATTATAGTGTATAGGTTTTCATAATTGAATATGATTATACTTATTTTTCTCTTTATTTCATCTTATAAAACTTTAGTAGAAATTACCACATTTATTTAGAAATAATAACAAAAAAGACATTACTCGTAGTGAGGCTTTCAACTTTCATAAATAACAATTTTGCCGTCAGTTTATATCTACATTAATCTTGAAATATTTATAGTTTTGTCCTTTTTGTGGTATACAATGCCTCAAAATGAAATAAGATTCAAATATCTGTGTGTGACATATTGTGAGCTAAACTTATTATGTAGTAGAATGGAGAACCCATGAATTTGTCTTCATGACTGTAGATCTTATTGATAGAAATTGATACTATAGAGTTTGTGATGTGACAATATCCCCACCCTACAAAATAGAAGTTATAAATAACCTATTTATTAGATTATCAGATAAGCTAGGTTTCTGGAATATTTCATGTTTTTACTATTCAAATCTATTACTCTTCTTCAAACAGCAGAGCCTCTGTCACACATCAAGTATAAAGACACTAGAGGCCTGGTGCGCGAAATTCATGCAGGGGGGGTGAAGAGGGTCCCCTCAGCCCAGCCTGCACCCTCTCCAATCCAGGACCCCTAGGGGGATGTCCCTCTCACAAACCAGGACCGATGGCTCCTAACTGCTCACCTTCCTGCCTGCCTGTTTGCCCCCAAGTGCACACCCTGTCGACCTGCTCACCACTAACTGCCCAGCTTGCTAGCCAGGTCACCTGCAACTAACACCCGCCCCTCCCCCCCGACAGCCTGGTTGCTCCCAACTGCCCCACCCCCTGCTGGCCTGGTTGCCCCAAACAGCCTTCTGTTCACTCGTTTGGTCATCCCTCACAAACCCGCCTGCCAGCCTTGTCGCCCCACCCAGCCTGCTGTTCCGTTGTTACTGTTACTGCGAGGGCATCCTAGACAAACTGCATATTCCCCTATTACTAGTATAGATTCTATGAGTTTGGGCTTCTTTCCCCTGTTCCTGGTAGGTAGTAAAGTGCATATTCCCAATAATAAAATTGTGGATAATAAAAGCTGAAAGGCTTTTAAAGCAAAGGGGACAACTACACACAAGGAGACCCTGTAAGAGGGCAGATGAGAGGCACTCATCTCTTTGAGGCCTAGCCAGTGCTCTCGAATGCCATTATTGGAAGTCTTTTACTCTTCTAAGCAATTCCGTGAGTCAGTTGATGACCCATCTAAAGCAGACAATTCTATAGCTTTCAAAAATGTGCTGTTGGATTGAAAGACATAATCCATAAATGGGAGCTATCTACACTAATAAAAGAGAAACATACAAATTGGTGTCTCTCTGCTACTCCCACCAGCCAATCAGATGAGTATGCAAATTAACCCAACAAAGATGGCGGTTAATTTGCATACGCAGGTCCGGAGCAAAGACTGAAGGCTCAGGCCTGAGCAGCGAAGACTGAAGGCTGAAGAGGGTTCGCTTCTCCATTGCGGCCAGAGCGAAGGCCTGGGTCCCGGGTGCCGGAGGAAAACCAGTGCCGGCAGCCATGGAAAGGAAGGTCTATTGCAGGAATCTCTTTGTGTAACGGGCCTGTAGTTCTATATAAATGTGAATATTATTCTTC